GTCTACTGATAGACTCCTTGCCGGCTGAGCACATGTGGAGCCATCTGTATGTAACAAAATTCACTAAAAACTACAGGGGACCGAACATAAATCCGTGGCGAATGACTTAAAGTTGGCTTGTTGCCATTAATCTCCAGAGCATAGTTTTTTGTTGTTGTTTTTTCTTCATCCGTCGGTAAGGGGTTAACCCATTGCCGATGTACATGGCATGTAAATACATGCCATGCCCACTGTGAGTTTACTTGTTTAATTGTTTTTACTCATAGATGGCTATACTTATACTAAGTCACCAATGAGCCAATTGTGAGTACTTGCCCATTTACCCTTTTCCTTGATTTATGAAAATGTTTTATGTTATCTTATTTTGCTATTCCTTATGCTTAAAACATTATAGTAATTGTAATTTCTCTAATAAAAATAACTTCATCAATATTCATAGCATTAGTAACAAATATGTTTTTCCTGCCATTTCAAGGAATGGGGAAATTAGGTAAGGTCACAAGGTCTACTAATTGACTCCTTTATGGCTAAGCACTAGCAGAGCCATCTATGTACAGAGACTACACAAAAATAAAAGAAATGAGCACTGCATTTTCCCCATTTTTTTATTAATTTTCCCTGGCAGTAGGTGGTTAAGAATGGCTCAGAATTGATGCAACAGTGAAAATGAAACATTTCATGTCGGTGCTTTTCAAGGAATGGAGTCTCCTAGTGCTGTGAAAAATCCAGGTCGCAAAAATGTGCATGCTGTCAAAACACGTAAAAAAATTATAAGGACAATAAAAAAAACATGCTAACCCATTGTCGCCGGGGAAAATAAATAAATAAATGGGGAAAATGCTGTACTCATTTTTTATATTTTTGTGAAATGTCTCTGTACATGGATGGCTCTGCTAGTGATTTCACCCTTCCTTGAATTGGCGGGAAAAAACGTATTCTTACTAATGCTATAAATATAGGTGGCGTTATTTTTAACAGCAAATTAGGATAACGTTAAATATTTTCGTAAATTGATGAAAAAGGTGAATGGATGAGACAGGCAGTACTCGTAATTGGCTCACTGGTGACTTAGTACAAGTGTAGCCATCTATGTGTAAAAACAATCAAACAAGTCGACTCACAGTAGGCATGGCATGTACATACATGCCATCCCCGTCGGCAAGGGGTTAAGTGCATATGTTTGAAAAACAGACATTGATGATTACAAAATAATAATTTTCCCCTTGCCGATGGGGATGGCATGTACGTACATGCCATGTCCTCTGTGAGTCGACTTGTTTGATTATTTTTACACATAGATGGCCATCTATGTACAGAGATATTTCACAAAAATATAAAAAATTTAGTACAGCATTTCCCCCATTTTTTATTCATTTTCCCCGGTGGCAGTACAGTCCCCAACTCCACATCACAAACTTTATTCAGCAATCTGAAATGCCACTACTCTAAGTACATATTGTCCCGTTTTTCATATATGGCATTATTGTGGCAAGTTAATAGGAAATTTTTGGAATATGTAAGTAGAAAAGTAAGTAAATTAAAAAAGAAGCAGGAGAAGAGAAGAGAGAAAGAAAGAAAAGAAATCTGATGAAGATTTGTTAAAACATGTCAAAGTACATCTCATGTACTATGAGCATATTAACTTTATGCTGTCAAGGATGGGATGTAAGTGTGTGCCATGCCCACTGTGAGTTTAGTTTATTAATTTTCTTGGGAAATATTTATAGTACAGATTTATTCACCAGAGACTAAATTCCAAACTCCATGTCACAAAATTTATTCAACAGTAAGTTATCATGATTGGGTGTGCCCTTCGAGCTCTACCCAAGGGGAGGGTTGATGGGTGGCTCTACCCCCCAACACCCTCTGTGAAACATCATCTTCACCTCGGTATATATGGCAAGAAGGAGTTGAAACTCAGGAGCACTAAGTTGGACCTAGGTTGTGGGCATTGCTTTCTGCAATCCTTTTCCTTTTATTTTTGCCATTACTGTTCATGTCTGCAGATTATTTCTTGTACCAATGACTTTTTGTTCTCTACATGTATATTATCTTCAATTTGCCATAGCTTAGTGCATCTCTACCATAAAGGTTAACCCTTTTCTTTACACATAGGTGGCTCCACAAGTACTAAGTCACCAATGAGCCAATTATTAGTACCACCTATTTCACTTGTTTACGCTTTTCCTTGATTTTTAAAAATATTTTCTTTTGTCTTGTATTGCTGTTAGTAATGTTTATAGTATTGTGATAATTATGGTTTCTATAATAATGATGGCAGCATTGATATTGACAGCATTAGCAAAAAACAAACAAAAATTCAAAAGCTCAAGGAAAGATGAAATCATGTGAGGTCACAAGGCTCCCTAATTAACTCCTATGTGTTTAAGCACTTTTGGAGCCATCTATATGTTTAGAAATTTCACAAAGACAGCTTACTCAAATTTTGTTTTAGGTTTTGTGCATCTGTCACTGATGGTAGCCCCTTGAAATTTGATTT